ACCGCTGCACATCTTCGACCCGCCCCCACGTTTATTTAGCTCCCTGTTGGTATCTCTGTGTCCTTTGAGGTGCATCTTTTGGCTTCCTGTTTGGGGGTCGGGCAGTTCTAGATTGTTCCTCAGAGTGAACATTCCTCCCTGGCCTAGAGTTCACAAACCTTTGGAGGCTCAGTTTTCCTCTCTGCCAAATGACATCCGATAGCACCCACTGCAGGAGGCTGTTTTGCTGCTTCATGATGTGACATCACTCGGATGCTGAGCCCAGCGCATGGAGGACCTGGAGCAGAGTGCAGGCAGCAGTAGCCGCTGTCTGTCATCAGCCTGAGGCTACTTCTGCTCCATCCTCTAAAGTTGCTTTCAGCCCAAAGAAGGGCTTGCACTGTTACACTCCTTTAGAATCGTTTTGGTGTGCCAGGGACAGCCCGGGAGCAGATCCTAGGTTAGACTCTAGCCCCAGGCCCCACTTGCTCTGTGAGCTCAAAACTCTGGCTGTCACATGGGAATGTATGATTGTGCCATAGCAGTCCCATCTTAGGGTTGTCTGGAAGATTCCATAGTGAGACAGCCCATTTCCGCAACCCAGGAACTGCCATTAGTAAATGGAGCCACCTGCAGGGCCAGAAGGCTGCTGGCCTTACTGTGGATCCCAGAGCACTGTCTCATCTGCCTTTGCCAGGGCTTCGGGACACGGAGTGGCCTGGCCGGACACAGGTACTGCGGCGGGGACCCCTTACCTGGTACCTGGATGGCGCACATACCACCAGCAGCGTGCAGGCCTGTGTGCGCTGGTATTGCCAGTCACTGCAGCGCAGCAAACGCCCCAGCGGGTGAGCTTTCCTGAAGGGCTGGGCATGTGAAGGCAGGGTCCTGGGTAATGACCCCGTTAGGGCTGATTTCAGCAGCCATCCCTGAGCTGTAACCTGCTCTTTGAAAAAAAATGTTGTATTTCTAATTCTTTCAGTGTTGCCACTCCCTGGCAGAAATTTGAAAATGTACTAAATAGTGTTTCTACAAAAAAGTCTATGCCATGGGTCTGGAGAGATGGTTGTTAAAAGCCCTTGATGCTCTTGCAGAGAACCCAACTCCCAGTAACCACATGGTAGTTCACAACGTCGTTACTCCAGAGGCATTAGGGCTGGACCAGTTCGGGGAGAATTAGATTCTGGGTAGATGGCTGGGATGGGCTGGGAAGGGCTGGGAAGGAGGGCAGAAGGCATAGCCCATCCATTTCTTTCTGATGCAGTGGGCCTGAAGTTCATATCTTGCTCTTCAACTCCACTGGTGACAGGGACCCCGCTGCCTTGCTGAAGTTGCTGCAGGTAAGGGACCCACCTGGAGGCTGGGTAGCATGCAGCACCAGTTCTGCCCTCAGCTCTAAAATGGAGCCATTTCCTGTTGCATCTTTGCTTGGGGAAACTATGTCTATTCTAGGCTGCTAGGGCCAGAGCAGCTCCTAGGATCATTTCCCATTTCAGAGCAGAGGCTGAAGTGGTTCATATCCAGAAACTACCCAAGCCTGGGTTTGGGGCCCGTTCCCCAAAGAGGCTGTCTTAAGTAGGTAGCCCCTGAAATCTCCATTCAGTATAGTTCACGTGTGCAAGTATTCTGGAAGATAGGCTGTGCAGGCTACAAGCCAGGAGGGCTACAGAGGCAAATGGGATGGGTGCTGAAGGCCCGTGGCTCTGTGCTATGTTATCACAGGTTCCGGGATGGGCTGGGGCCCTATTTGGAAGTCAGGTTGGGGTGAGGGACACCCTTTCAGAAGACTGATACCATGTCTCCCCTTGCTTACCCAGCCCTGCCAGTTTGACTATGCTGTGTTCTGCCCCAACCTGACAGAGGTGTCACCCACAGAGAACGCAGGTGAGAGGGGACAGATGGCGTGGCTGATGCTGAGGGCCCAAGGTGGACTGCTCAGGGAGGAATGGGAACTTCCGGCTTCCAAACTGTGCTAGAAGATAGCATTTTTAAAAAGATTTCTTTTTGCTGTATATGTATGTGCAAGGGCCTGCAAGTACGGATCTGAGTGCCTGGCGCCTGTGGAGGCAGACGTCGTCAGGTCCCCTGGGACTGTGGTTATAGATGGCGGTGGGTATTGGGGGTGGAACCTGGGTTCTCTGCAAGGGCAGCGAGGGCTTTAACAACACGTTCATCTCTCCAGCTCCAGGATACAGATTTTATTGTAGAAACACTATTTAGCACATTTTCAAATTTGTGCCGTGGAGTAGTCACAACACTGTAAAAGAATTACCAGGTAGGGGGCTGGAGAGATGGCTCAGCGGTTAAGAGCACTGGCTGCTCTTCCTTAGAGGTCCTGAGTTCAATTCCCAGCAACCACATGGTGGCTCACAACCATCTGTAATGGGATCTGATTTCCTCTTCTGCTGTGCATGAAAACAGCACTGGTATAAACAGATAGATAGATAGATAGATAGATAGATAGATAGATAGATAGATAGATAGATAGATAGATAAAATTAAAAAAATTTAATTACCAGGTATAGAATATTTTCTAAGGGCTGGAGAGATGGCTCAGAGGTCAAGAGCACTGGCTGCTCTTCCAGAGGTCCTGAGTTCAGGTCCCAGCAACCACATGGTGGCTCACAACCATCTATAATGAGTTCTGGTGCCCTCTTCTGGGGTGCAGGTGTACATGCAGGCAGAACATTGTAAATCATAATAAATCTTGAAAAACAACAAAGAATCTTTTTTAAAGGGTAGATTACAGCCTACTGATGGCTACTGAAATCAGCATAGTGGGTCTCAACTAAATTTTATTGACTAGAATGGAAAATATCAGAGTGCTTTGCATGGAGGATGGGCAGTTGCTGCCTGGTGAAGATTCAGGTCGCGGCATCTATGTAAGAGTGCAAATACTAGGTTGCAATGTAAAATACATCTAAAAGTTGCTTATGTTGGGTGTAATCCCAGCACTCGGGGAGGCAGAGGCAGGCAGATCTCTGTGAGTTCCAGGCCAGTCTGGTCTGTTTGTTTAGTTAGTTAGTTAGCTAGTTAGCTAGTTGGGGTGGGGCACATGAGTGGAGGCCAGAGGAAAACTGGGGGAGGGGAATGTCAGTTCTCCTCTTCCCTCTGTGGGTCATAGAACATGGGGATTGGAGAGAGGCTGCCAGGCTTGATGGCAAGCACCCCTTCGTACTGAGCTGTCTCACTGGCTCCTGAAATGCTTTTTGGATTACAGTGCTTCGCATTTTAAAGCCTTTGAAGGAGGGTGAAACATGCAGGAGATCTCCGGGTCCCATAGTGGACCATTTGTGGAGAGCTCTGGGATCTGTATTTATAGCTGCTTTCCCGGGAAATACTTACGCCCACATGGTGAGGGACCCCAAGGGGACACTTTGTAGAGATGGGCATGGGGGTTGTGGCGTTGGACTTCCAGGCTGTGCTTCCCATGACAGTGAGCAGGCTGCACTGGTCACAGTCCGCCGTGCGGACAGTCAGCAGAGCCTAGTGCAGTGGGGCTTAGAAAGGGCTCGCTGTGTGTGTGCTGCTTCTCCTGTGCGCTCCACTGACGTGGCTTGTCCTGCACCCCACAGACCAGCAGAACTTCACAGTGACTCTGGACCAGGTGCTGCTCCGCTGCCTCCAACACCAGCAGCACTGGAGCCGCCTGGGCGAGAAACAGGCCAGCCCCGACCTCTGGAGCAGCCCCAGCCCGCAGCCGGGAGGGCCGGGCTCCCTGCTGCTGGCACCGCACCCGCCTCAGCCTGCTAGCTCGAGCTCCCTTGTTTTTAGCTGCATCTCCCACGCCTTGCAGTGGATCAGCCAAGGCCGGGATCCCGTCTTTCAGGCCCCGAGCCCTCCAAGGAGCCTCCTCAGCCACCCGACAGCTAGCAGTGGGGCCAGCGTTCTCCGGGAGGCCGCTGCCATCCATGTACTGGTTACAGGAAGCCTGCACCTCGTGGGTGGAGTGCTGAAGCTACTGGATCCCTCCCTGTCCTAGTAGCCAAGGCTTGGTGTCAGAGGCGGGAACTTTCCACACCCTTGCTGCCTTTCCACAGACGTTCAGACTCAGTGCCTTTTGATTTCTGCTTCCGGATTCTTTTGAGACCGGCCCAGGGTCCTGAGCTCTTGGTAGAGGGTAGGGATGGGAGAGGCTCTGTTCCTTGGCTTCTCCTCCCTCTGGCGTAGACAGCAGGGGCTTCCCTGCCATTTTACTAGGCCTTCAGTCCAACCCATCTCCCTGCCCACCCTGTTGCCTTCTGGCTCAGGTCCAGCCTATTGTGCAAGCTGCCTGACCAGCCTGTGATCCTACCTGAGGTTAGCCCAGAGACTTCTCCTCCCTCCCAATGCCTTCTGGGAAGAGAGAGGGCCCTTGCCTGGGCATTTGGGGACTACAGGTTGTCGGAACTAATTGAAGCTTTTTAAACCCTTTTATTTTTTATTTTTTTGTAAATAAATGACACAACTTTTGGTTGACTCCTAACCTCTTAGCTCCCTCATCAGACATTTGGGGGTTTGAGTTTGGCTCTGCAGGAGTATAGGAGTTGAATGGATAGAGAGTCCTAGCAGTATGACCTATGACTAGTCTTCAGCCTCAGAGCATAAGGAGGCCTGGGCCATGAAAGACTGGACTGACACTTGTCCACCACACACCAAAACCCTGCCTTGCAAACCTCCCCACCAACCGTGTGTTCAAGCTGTATGCCCATCTTACAGATGAGGGAGGGTGGCTGGCTTCCAGAGGCCATGGAGCTGACCACAGGCTCATTGTGGAAAACTGTCATGGGGAGGATGAGAACCCAGAGCTTTATAGGGATAGCTGTGACAGACCCCAGAGACTGTAGCCAAGGTTTCTTAGTGTTTAGTTTCTGTAGCCTTTGTCCCAGGGTTGGACCACCAAATGAGTGAGTATCAGAGAGGACCATCTTCCTTCGAACAGGGTCTCTGGCCATCTGCCACTAGGCCAGCCCAAGGGGCGTGCAGCCCTGTTCTGTGTTGTAATGGCCCTTCCCCTTCTCCCAGTACAACCCAAAGGGGCACTGGTTTCACATCTGATTTATTGGTGAATATATAGGGCTTGGCCCAGGACCGGCAGCCTTGGTACTCCCCTCCTGCTGCCGCCCAGTGGATGGGCCGGGAGGAGATCTCTCTCTGGCATTTCTCAGAGGGGCTGGGCTCCCCCACCCCACTGTCCTTGCCATCTTCTAAGACTGCTGAGCTGAGCACCCTTCAGCTTCTCTTTCCCCCACCAAAGTTGTGCCAGTCCAGGTGAGGAGGCCACTGGAGCCAGATGCAGGCAGCTCTGAGCTGGGCTGGCCTGGGCGGGTCACGTCTGGAGTTCTCACCTCTTACCCTGCCTGGTTCACCAGCACAGGATCCAGTTCAAAGGCAGCAGCTTAGGCTTCTACAGCGATATGCCTTGTCTCTCTAGTCTCGGGAAGCCATATTCTAGAGCCCCTGGGTTGGACAGTTCTGTAGAGTCGGGTGAAGAGACCCCAAGGTGTTCCAAGGTGGTGTCTCCACTGGCAACAAGCCTCTGTGAGGGACGCATCAGGGGCAAGGGCCATGCTCCATCCTCTGCTGAGTGGAGGTGTTTGGCTCCGGGACAAGTTCATAGCCAGTGGTTCCCAGCTTGTGGTTGCTCCGTCTCTCCTTCGGGGCAAGGGCTGGCTGGGGGGGCCCTCGAGGCTCCAGGTTGGGCACTATGCCATGCTGCTGGTGGAGCAGGGGGTGCTCTGAGTGCTCCCAATGCTGTGGTTGGTACTGCTGCTCTCAGAGGAGGCCGGTGCAGCCACCGCCACCACGGGCTCCCGCTTGCTGGGGGCACCTGAGGGGCGTGGGCGGGGGTGGAGGTCAGGGCCCCAGCCAGGATTCCCCACTCCCTTGGAGGCTTCACTGGGCGTGCCCCGGGGCGGTGTGGAGGGGCTCTGCGTGTTCATTGTAGGGGCAGGGTGGAGGCTTGGGGTACTCACGTGTATGAGAGTAGATGCACCAGAGTGCTGCTGTGAGCAGGGCCCCAATGAGGAAGGCACCAAAGGTGATGCCCAGAACAGAGGGCAGGACGAGGCCTTTGCCTGTGTGGCCAAAGGGGGGCCAATGGGGGTCAGTGTGCGCTGGCCTCAGGCCCATCCTACCCTGTCATGCTGGCCTGGGTCACAGGTATTACGCTAGTTTCAGTTCATCCGGTGACCCCTGACCTCTCCAAATGTAAATCTCTTCATCTAGGGCATGGGCTCAGTATAATACTAAGCCAAGGGCCCAGCTAGCCAGGCCTTTCGGACCGCCCTTCCGTCTCCCGAAGGCTAGCAGAGAAACATCTTTACAGATGGTATAATAGATGCAAAGAACGAAAGGGGCCAGCTCTGCCACACTGTGTGACCTTATATCCTGTATCCACCCCGTCCGCCCTCATCTCAACAGATTCAAGTGGGCCAGAACATCTTTTTAAGACTAGTGCTGGTCCCGTTAGTCAAGGAATGTGAGGCCTGTACCACACCCAAGGTGCCGTATGTTCCCATCCAGGAGGCCGAGGCCGCCAGCAAGGCATACCAGTTACTGAGGGGACAGAGATGAGACCTGGGAGGGGCCTGCGGTCCGGAGGCCTGTCCTACGGCACTCAGCTGCGCTCCTCCTAAAGCCCTACCTTACTGCAGGCCCCTCTGGCTGCTAGCCTGAGAAACCGTCCTCGCCCCACAAGGCTGCCACCCCATCTCCCCACCAGTGGACCCCACTGTCCACTGTCCTGTACTCACCAGACAGGTCAGGGCTGACGATGTTCAGGCGCATGGAGACTGTCTTGTAGACTTTCTGAGGAGGGAGGAGAGTGATAAGTGGCCCAGCCTTCAGCTGGCAGCACGTGGCTCTCCCTGGCTCTGCAGCTCTGACCTGCCACCATTCCAAGCCTTGGCTGAGTCCTATGCCCACCACTTACTAGCTGGCAGCCTGGGGAAAAGTTTAGGAGGCATGTGCTGTGCAAGAACAGCAGGATAGTCTATGTCTGTGTGAACGGTCCCCAGCACTCCTCTTTTGAGGCCTCTGATGGCATGCGGCAAGTAGGCACTTAGCATCTGTTACCCTGGCAAGCCACAAGCCAGGTTAGCCCAGATGCCCAGGACCTGGAAGGTATGGCTCCTGGGACCCCAGCTTCAGGAGGTTTTGGATCCTGGACATCTGTGTGCAGATTTTGATTGTGTCAGGATGGAAGGCCTGAGAACGGAGCTCACTCGACAGCAAAGCATGATGTCAGGCTTTTCCATTATTCCCTAAGCTACCTGGTTTACTCAGTCACACTGGTGATTGCCACGTGGGTGAGTGGGTGGGATGTGAGAGAAGTGAGTGACTAGGGGGGCTAGTGGAAATACTGAATGATGGGTGTATAGGGCTTGTGGGGTAAACAGAAGGATAAAGTGGGCAGGTGGGTGGCTGGTGGAGGGAAGGTAGGTAGATGCGGGATGGATAAGAAGGTAGGTGGATGAGTGGTTGGGTGGTACACACATAAGTATTAGGTAGATTGGTGGACGGGTGGGTGGATGCATGGGCAGATAGACGGCTGAGCGGATAGGTACATGGACTGGTGGGTAGGCAGATAAATGGTGTGTTTGGATAGGTGAGCAGATGGTTGGTTATGTGGGTGGGTAGGGTCCTTGAATAGTTGGTAGATTAGTGGGTATGCGGACGGATGGTTGGGCTCCCGGTGGGCAGTGGGTAGATGGGTGGAGGTGGATGGCTAAATATTTCAGAGGGTAAGTGGATAGGGGAGAGCTGCAGCTGTGTGTGTATCCAATTGCCACAGTTTCAGCGAAGCTGTAGGTAGCAGTGAGTGACCCCTGACAGCCAGGCTGGCAAGCCCCACGCTGGACTCTTGCTCTGCTGGTGGCCAGCTGCACTGTCACCTCCTTACCTTCAAACCCCAGGCCCCATAAGCCACCCTGAAGCTAGACCTGGGCCACGCCCACTCACCTGGGACAAGGCGCTAGTGTGCAGGGCTAGGTTGCAGCTGAGGGTGCCAGCTGTGGGGGTGGGCACCATGTAGACACGGAGGAGGAAGCTGAAGCGTGGGTCACCTTCAGGGCTTGGGGACAGCAAGCTCACACAGCTGCCCTTGGCTGCTCGGCTCTGGATGAGTTCCACCGTGTCCCCTTCAGGCCCCAGATCCAGCTGGCAGCTATCTAGCTGGACTGTGACCTCAGAGGTCGATGGAGACATGCTCACCTGCACAGAGAGGGGAGAGCTATGTGCAGATACTCTCGACTCTTCACTGGTGCCCCTTTGATAACTAGGGGGAGTCCCCACCCTCTGAATAAAAGAGAAGAAGGAGCCCCACAGAGCAAAAAGGAAGGACAGGGCTACATTCTCATTTGCAGTTCCTCTTCCATCTGCCGCACACGCCCAGGCTGGACGGTGAAGTCTCGAGTTCTCTCTAAGCGGGGAGCCCAGTACCTGCACGAAGCCTTGCTGGCCCAGCTCGAGGGTGCTGGCTGCCTGGAGGAAGTGTGGGCTGAGGTAGAGGCCCAGCTCGAAGGAGAAGCTGTCTGTGTCAATGCACTGCACCTTTTTCTGTGGGCGGGCAGGTAGGGGACAGTCAGCTTGGATGGGGTGGCAGTAGGCATCGCCTGACCCCATCCTCACCTTTTAAGTGAACTCGTATTTATGAAGAAGTCACTTGGGACTGGGCTAGCGAGAAGACACCTCTCAGTGACTGCTCCTAGGATCCCTATGGGGGGAGGTCTTATGCCACAGGTTAGAGCCTATGACCGCTGAGCCCAAGGAGGGTTAAATGATTTGCCACGGTCACAGAGCCACCGTGTGACTTAAGAGGCTGAAACAGGAACTCTCAGCAGCACTGCTGCCACTGTACAGAACAGGAGGCTGACGCACACTGGAAACTCGGGGTTGTTAGGATTTGGGCCTCCCTTTCCTGGGGCCTCCCCCCCTCCCCGGTAGGCCAGATAGGGGCCCCACCCCTGCTGCACACCCTGAACCAGTTAGCATGGTGGGACAGCCCATCTCACCCGAAGTGGTGGTGAGCCTGACGGGAAATTGATGATCACCTGCAAAGACAGAGCCGAGAAGCTGGTCAGGGCCGGAAAGGCCCCAGAAGACATCTTACTTCCCAGACGCATGTTATGGATGGGAAGGCTCAGCTAAGCCGTGCCTACGCTTTGGCTCCTACCTAGCGCTACTCCCTGCTGCCCCAAATATCCCTCAGCCCCTAGGATCAGCAAAGTGCCTGAAGGGACACCCAACTCTGCCGCTCTTGGCTGCTTCCTGGCCCCAGGCCTCACCTCATTGCTGATCACATGCGCTGACACTTTCATGCCACAGCTGGAGTAGGTGCTACGCAAGACGAGCTGGCCGTCGCTGTCTTCAGCCTGGCAGTGGGAGTCCCAGAAAGCCAGGCCTGTAATGGTACACTGCAAAGTCTGCTCGGGGGAGAAGGGCACCGTCAGGAGGCCCTGTGCTTCCCCGGGCCTCACTGTCCCCACCAAAACTCTGTAAGGCCTGCCCCTGGGCCCGGAGAGACAGCTCAGCGGTTAGGAGGCTGTTCTCGCAGAGGACCCAAGTTCAGGCCCCAGCTCCCTAACCCATGCCAGAGCGCTCACAACCAACTGGAACTCCAGCTCCGATAGATGACTCTTTCTGGCCTCCACGGACACTAGTGCTCATGCGCACATACCCACCCTACACAGAAGTTTAAGATGAGCAAAGAAAATATTTAAGTGTGTCTGAGCGGACATGGATGATTTACCAAAGCTCAAATAGAGACTTCAGAAAAGCGGGGGTGGGGGGAGGGGGGGCGGGGGGCGGGGGGGATGTACTTATTGGAGGATGGACAACCAGAATATCATCATCTTCTTCTTTTTTTAATTGTTAATTTTATTTTGTGTTCTTTGATGTTTTGCCCGCATCTGTGATAAGGTCGGATCCCCTGGAACAGGAGTTACAGACAGTTGTGAGCTGCCATGTGGGTGCTGGGAATTGAACCTGAGTCATTTGGAAGAACAGCCAGTGCTCTTAACCACTGAGTCATCTCTCCAGCCCCTAGAATGTCTTCTTTACTTTTTTCATTGGTACATTGCTGGGAATTGAACCTAGGTGTGTGTGTGTGTGTGTGTGTGTGTGTGTGTGTGTGTGTGTGTGTG